AAGCTCTTGGTTACCCACTTTATCTGCGCATTGGTATTTACGTAGCAAAGGTAGTGCACATCCTCTGAGGCAGCAAAGCTTGGACAGTTTTCAGGAAAACAAGAAATTTCAGCAATACACAAGGCTGTAACTTTGTCAGCGATTGCAGCCTGGCCAGCTGACTTGCTTAGGCTTAACTGTGCTGTTCGGACTGACCCAAAGGAATCCTAGCTGGTTTACCTGTCGGCTTCTCTGGGATGTCACTGGGGCAAACCCTGCCTGCTTCCTTACAGAGACGTGTGAGGTCTGTGGGGCGCGAGGTACCACGGGGGGGTCCCCAGCATCCCCCAAGGACCTGCTCCCAAATATCACCTCCGAAACAACGAGCTGAATTAACAAGAGTGGAAAGCTGTGGAGGAGAGGTGGTCTTTTGTCTGTAGCAGGGACCACAGCTTGCTCCGAGTCCTGCGCCCTGCCGCAGTGCCCTGTGCCGTCGCCGGGGCTCGAGGACAAACCCGTCCCCGTGGCTGGTGCTCTCCCGGGAGTTGCGTTGACCCGGTGCAGAGGAGTTTACCGGCAGCACTCGCTGACCGGAGATAAACAGGCAGCTCTTCTCTGGAGCAGACTATTAATCAGATGAGAATTCCTTGTTGGCCTATAAACCAATGGGATGACTTATTGTTCTCAGACAGATTGTAATAACATAATGAGCCTCATGAGCATTAGCTGAATAAGAAAATCAGGTCATTTGGTGCTGCCTGGTGTTAATGATGAGTGAAGATATTTCTGAGCTAATCACTGGGCTAATGTCCCTTGGGCTCTGCCTGCTTCTGATTCCTCAGATTTATTAACTTTTATTTGTGAAATAAAAAAAAAAGCTTGTCTTGAAACACAACCTCCTCTGCTCACTGAGGTCTACCTGACTGTGCTCTGGGCTCAGCCGTGGTGTTATCCTTGCCAAATTAAAGGTATCATCTCAGCCCCTTCCTGAAAGTTTTGCTGCTGTGAATGAGAAGTACATTGAATTCAGGGGGATTAAATTCAGAGTGGATCCTGGCTACTGTCTGGAACGAAGCGGCTGTGTGCGTGAGACCACGCCTGGCTGGATGTCTGCCCTCATCCTCCCTTGCATTTGTACTGACACCTTCCCTCCCTCCCTCCCGTTTCTGACGCTGTCTGTCTGTCTGCTCTGTAGACAGGGACATGGACCCTGCCACTATCCAGGAAATCAGCGAGTCTGTCCTCTCCCTACGTCTCCCCACGGATGCTGCCGCAGTCCTGAGGAAAATGACAGAGATCCAAAATCTGGCGACCAAGCTGCAGTGCCCAGAGAGCATACTGGCCCAGACAGCCGAGGACATTGCTAAGGCCAAGCAGCTTCAGCAGGAGGCAGAACAAGCCAGGTCGGTTGGGGCTCAAGGGCTTTTGGGAGCTGAGAGTCACTCAGCTGGAGCGAACGTGGTGGTTCTTGGGTTGAAATCTCGCTCTGCTGGAGCTGTACTGACTGGCACAATATGAAGCTTTAGGCCAGGATCTTCTGTGTCCCTGCAGCGCCTAAAAGGATGAGTCTGCAGTCTCTACAGACACCTCCCTGGTGCCCCAATACGAATAAAATATCTGCCTGCTAAGAATAGATCCTGCTATAGATACTAGAACAAGAAGGCCTTTACCAAAAGTAATGGAGGCTTTTCTCTCTCTCTTGAGTCCCTGTGATGGGAGATGGCAGGGTTGCCCTGGTATTACTTGATATTGGTGACCTACATCCTAATTGCACAAGAGAGCATGAGGAGATTAAATGGGCTATTTGTTTTCTGGGTGAAAGTTGGGAGGATTATCTCATGGTCCCTTAAAAAGTAATTACAGAGTGTCCTTGCAAATTTGGAACGTCTACTTTGTCACATGTTGACTTGCAGCAATATCCCAGTGAGAAGGTTAGGGGGATAAGTATGTAAACTCCTTGATAGTGTCTGACACCTGCTTAACCTGCTGGAAGTGATGAGGCAAGGGAGTCTGGCTTTCTACGGAGAGCTCTATCGCCCAGCGTAATAGTCCCACTGCAAGCAGAAAAGCATTCATTGGAACTGGTTCAGTGGTTATTGCTTTCCCTTCAACGCTTTTTCTTGCAACACTTACAAAATACATGGTTGTAACTAGTTTAAAGGAAGGTGTTTCTCTCCCCTTCTCACGTTGTCTCCTCTGCTTGGGGGTATGAAATGGAAGTAACACTGCTCTCAAAAAGAAACCTGCTGGAGTGCAGTGTGTCCAGATGTGTGGGTCTGTGGCTTCTGGGGGAGAGGGACTGCAGCCTTCTCTGTAACAATCCTGTCTTGCTTCTCAAGCTTCCTTATTTTGCCTCTGCAACCTTGGCTTTTCAGCCCGTGCAATTATCTACGCTCACTCCTGGCCACTTCCCACGTTTCCCCAGGAATCGGGCGAACACCGTGGAGGGCAGTGTGGAAGATGTGGTCAGGAATCTGCGACGAGCCAACACGGTGCTGCTGGAGGCGCGGGGTGCCATCAGGGGCTCTGGCTCTTCCCTTCGGTTCATCCAGGAGCGCGTTGATGAAGTGAGTGATGCGCAGTGACCTCCCAGTAACGGTGCTGCGCCCCGCTCACCGCCTCTTCGAGACCTCCCCGCTCAGTAGAGCTCTGCACCACCGCAGCTGGGAAACGGGATCTGGCGATGCTTTTGCCGTGAAAATCTCTCCTTTCTGCTGTGCCTCCCTCGTGTGCTTCGCCAAACTCCAGTCACGGTTCCTGCTGGAGCTCCCCCGAGCCAAGCCCCGGGGGGCTGCCGTGCTCAGCTGCGCAGGGAGCAGCCCCCCGCTCCCCCTGAGCCCCCACTTCTGCGGCGCGTCCGTCGGGCAGTGCAGCCGCGCGGAGGAGCGGGGCTGGGACGCGACCTCCCTCTGACTGCGGAGCGCTCTGCTTTCAGATCCAGGCTGTTCTCAGTCCAGCCGAGAAGAACGCGGGGGCCGTTGGGGGCCAGCTGGACGGGCTGACGGCGAGGCTCTGGCGGCTGCAGCGCGGAGCGGAGCAGAGCCGCCTGCGGGCCGCCGACGCGCAGCAGACGGCCGGGGAGGCGGGCGAGCAGGCCAGGAGCGCGCAGCAGGTACCGGTCACAGCCGAGCTCCGCTTCCCCGCTGTCACTAGACAGCAAAGCCAGCTGTGGCCTGGCACGTTTTTAGATGAGGCAAGGAGGTTTTCCTGTTCCAGCCATGCCTTGCGCGCTGGCGTGTCACTTCCTATTAATTTGATGCAGTATTCCACTACTGAATTTTCCCAGGGCCTCTCTCAATCCTAATGCCTTTACTGGAAGCTTCTTTCTGCTGTACCTCCCGCCTCAGGCCGAGTAGCCCATACAGCTGTCAGTAGCATCTTTGTGAGTGCATCACAAACTGTCACGCATTTCCGTGATAACACAGTGACAAAGCCCTAGTGCAGTATCCAGTTAATATTTAAAATGGATTCAACACTGGAAAATCCCCTTCCCCCCAGTCTATTTGCACTGCTTATTTGCTTTTCCCCAGGCTTTCGAACAAGTGAAACAAATGTACGCTGAGCTGAAGAGCAGGACGGGGCAGAGCCCAGCTCTGGGAGAGCAGGGCAGCAGGGTGCAAACCATAGACCTGGAGGCACAGGCTCTGTTTGAGGAAACTCTGGCCATGATGCTCAGGATGGAAAGTAAGACTCTTTGTGAACTCTTTGTAAGAATCTCATGCACCGGGGAAGGGCTTTTGACTCCCTGAGGGGTAAGGGAAAGGAGTTAGGAGGAAGATGATGTACTTTTGGCAATGACACGGTGTGGATTTGGGCTGTATCTGCTGGTGCTGTCCCAGTAAATTTAGAGTTTGCAAGGGCACGTGTGTCTCTGTGGAAGGGACCCCCTGCCTGCGATGCCGACGCGCCCCCCTTTTCCTCCACACACTTGCTTCCATTTTTAAGCATTCAAAACTAGTGGCTTTGTTCGGAGCAGTCGTGCTGGGGTGGTTTCTTGAGGGGGAGAAAGGGGAACGCAGGTTGTGAGTTTTTCTCACCCCACCAGAGCTTTGCAGGGGGAGGTGGAGGCTCAGCCCAGCCTGCCGCGTAGGGCAGTGGCCACGATGCCTTCCTCCTGTCCCGTCATCGCGTAACCCTCTCCTGCCCTCTCTCTGCAGCTTTAGAGACAGAAATTCAGGAGAGCAACAAGGCTTTGATGTCCAAGTCGGCCAGGCTGTCGGGCCTGGAGGAGCGGGTGGGAAGGATCCGGGACGCCATCAACAAGCGAGTGGCCTACTACGAGAGCTGCTCCTGAGCTCCAGCGGCATCGCCTTCCTCCTCTGCAGAGGCTGACTTGTGTATTTGTTCCCATCTTCTGGCTGGAGTTCTCACGTGCCCAGCATCTCTATTTTTAGCAAATTGAGTTTCCGTACCTCTGGAAAATAACTGCACTGAGCCAAAGGAGCAACCCCATAGAGAGGGCTAACTTTGGTGGGACTGGCTGGAGCTGCCTGGTGATTGGAGGAAAAAGGGGGAGACACATCGATCTTCCATGGCAAATAAAAACATCCCCAAAGTTGTTATTTCCAGATGGGTTTATCAAACAAGAAATTATTTATTTTTCTTGTTTTAGCCAACTCAAGCGCTTTAAGCTGAATTTCACCATTCAAATTAAAACCCTCACGTGGGGTCTTTTAACACTTTTTACCTATGCTGCAGTTAATCCTTAAAACTTGCCGTGGCTTCAGTACATACCTCCTAGATCCTTCTTCAAGTAACCAAATCACAGAAATGGGGAATTTTATCTCAATTGTATCTATACAATATACCTATATTTATACAAATAAGAGAAACGCAATCTCATACACAAAGGTGGAGTCAAGCATCTTGTTTGACTTTCTGCCACAATCTGCTTATTTACCACATAACGCTTTGCCAGAAAAATACCAGAGGGAGCAGGTCTGCAAATGCACAGGGAATGCTTTAGAAGGGAATTAATAGACCGTTTCCACATCAAATTTCTATGAATAACCAAGAGGCACTTTACAAAACAAAACTCAGCTTTATTAAGCAAGTATTTATTGTGCAATTACAGACTGGGAAGCAGGGAACTTAAACCTTGCTGTGATTATTATCAGACATATGGAGGTTGCTAGCAGGTTGTCTCTCCTTTTGTAGCTGAAGTGAGAACTGTGCAGCCTGGGCAGCTGGTGGATGCTGAACTTGAGAGCGCCGAAGCCTGGGACTAACCAAAACCCAAGGAGTGGATAGGGTGAAGATTGTAAAAATAACTGACCTGCCATTGAGTAAAACTCTGCATGGCTTTGGTTTATAGGATTTACCTTGTGCAGTGCACTTATGTATTGGGCAACTAAACAGGATACAGAAAACAAAAGCTTGTAGCACTGAGCGATGGATAATATACACTGAATATGCTAGCAGTAGCCTCAGACTTTCCCTTGCCTTCTCCCAGCTTTAAGGATCCAGAAACACCCCGAGGTCACTGCTGATGGATTCCTGGGACTAACGTGCTGCTCGTCACCACTTGGTCGCTGCTCTCTGAGACGCTGCTGCCCGCCTGCTCCCGGCGGGACACAGCCTCCTTTCTTGCTTGCACTGCTGATGTCTGGCTTTGAAGTGCAGAAAAGAGTAAAACAGCCCTTCTGTTTCTGCAAGAGAGAGAATTTCGATTGAGGATTGAACTTTGTTTCACTAGTCTGCTACCTTCAAAACGTGCTGTTAATAAGCGGTGCCATGGGGGTTAGGAACATCTTAGATCCCTTTGTGTGCCTTAGCTCTAAAGGGTTATTGCATGACTGATCATTGGAACAGCCCTTCTCGGAGCCTATAGTAGATCTTACTTGCATCTGTCTCTTCTATTAATCCTTCGTATCTGACAGTTCTGTTCATACAATCTCATCAGTAGCGAGTGTCATGAAAGATGATAGGAGGTAGCTCACTTTCTGTAGCTTTTGTGGAGAACTATGCTAGCATACGTTCACCTTTGAGGAACATTCTTTATTGCAGGATCTAAGAGCAATACTTCTTACTGCTCATGTATAATGTGGTGCAATGATAATAATTTAGCTAGTCCAGAATTAATCCAGGCTGTGGTCAGACAGGATGAAACTGATGACTGCGCTCTGCTCACCTACAAAACGAACATCTCTGTGCTCTGCTCTCTGGAAACAAAGCAAGTTGAACTGAGCTGCCTGACCGAATCTGGGAAAAGGAATGGCCCTTCAGGCTGTGGAGACGTCCGGGCCACGCTCAGCCACGGAGCAGCAGCCTCAGGTCAGCCCTTTGCTCACGGTCATAGCTGAGACCCAGCTGAAGAGCCCTAATCCCAGCTGCTGAAGCTGTTTGGTTCCAGTGTGATTCCTAGTGAGTAGCTTTGAATAATTGTAGAGTTTGATATGACAGGTCTATGCTTGGCTTCTTTTCACATGTTCCTTGGGCAACCCTGTTGTGATGTAAAAGTTGGATTCAGAGTTACTGGACTGGCCTTAATGGAAGCTGAAAGATTATTTCTTCCTTGAAAGATGGTTTAGTTAAGGCTTTTTCTGTTGCAAAAAAAAAACCAGTGAGTCAATGTATTTCATGTACAATCACTTTGCTATTTGTGCTTTTTCCTTTTCCGTGCCATAATGGGATTAATTAAAAGCAGCTGGTGATTGGATTGCAGAGCACTTACCGCTGGCAATGTGGGGAGCCTGGTGGCTGCCTCCTCATCACATGATCAAACACACGCCAGTTTGCCCAGTGCCACAGTGCGAAGAGTGTTTACTGGTTTTCATTGGAACAAGAACTTCTGATTTGAAATGACTGGTTGAATATGGAAGAACAGAAGAGACATAACAAAAAAAAAAGACAAATAGCAATATTTGCAATCGTTCTGCAGGTGAACTGAAATTGTGTTTTGAATATAAAGAACATCAGCTGCTGAAAGCCAAGCAGAGCTGGGTGCGAGTGGACACTGCAGCAGAGGCAGGGTCCGGTCACTCAGCGCCAGCTGAGTAATTGGCCTCAGCAGCCTCAACCACAGGCGATTTCAGTTTCTGGGAGGCAAATGTGCTCAAGTCGCTGGAGTGTGGCAGCAGAGCTCTGCTGCCTCAGCTCGCTGCGGGCTTTGCCAGGCAGCCTGGGCACCGTGCCTCACCTGATGCTCGTTCAGGCGCGGAAGAGACTTGGCTGGGCACCGCTACCCAGCCAGTCAAAGCGTTTGCCCCTGTCCTTATTCCTCCCTCCTTTCCACCTCCCCGTGGGGCTGGCAACTTATGTGCCAAGCAACTCCTGGCCCAGAATTTATTGGTTATTCCCATATAATTTGTTGGAAGTTATGGCTAATGACTTGGATACCTACTGGGATTTTGCAGATTTTTTAAGCAGCACTGTCTCGGAGCAGAAGGACATCTTCATTTTCTCGTGCCCTATGCAGGCTGGGCTGCAGCCACAAGAAGTTCTGGGTGGAGGGCTGTGGTTATCCGGCAGCACTCCGTTCTCCGCGTGGCTTTGCCCCTTCCCCTCTCTCTTTCCCGTGTCTCGCTCCGGCTGAGGGGGAGGGTTGGGTGGACAGCCCTGCGCGGGGACCAGCGGGAGCGACGCATCCTTGTCTTCGTTTGGCAGTGCTGGCCGGGTGGCCACCGCGGGTGTGGTGGGCCTGGACGCCTCCGAGCCTCGTGTAACGGGGAGGGCGCTTTCGGCCGCCGCGTGACCGTTCATGTGGAGCTTCTTCATGTGGTGCACGACGGCTGCGGCGTTGAAGGCTTGCTGGGGGAGAAGACAAAAACCCCGGGGTGAGCACCTGGTGATGCCGGGCTGGCTGGGTGCCGTGGGACGAAGGGACTGTCCCCAGGGGCCGGCGCCTGCGCGGGCAGCGCCGCTCCAGCGAGCACTGGCTGGCCGGTGGCGCGGTGTGTGACAGGGGGGACCTGCCCGTTCCTGGCACGAACACCGCGGTTTCCACTGAGTGGGAACTGCTGATGCTTTTGAAGGTTGCAGCCACTTCAGCAGGAGGAAATCAGGGGGAGCAGCTGTAAATTACCCCGTGGTGTGAAATGAATGCTAGAGCTGAATTGTGAATGTAAGTATTTAAAATGCTATCATACACATGGTTCCTATGGCATTCCCTTCTCCTCCTAAATTCTTACTAAAGCTCTTTATATAAATGAAGCACCCAATTTATCTTCAAGACTGAAAGGACGAAAAACTGGATTGAGCTCCCCTAAAGGATTTGCTGATAGAGCACCAGTTTCACTCCCTCAGTATAAAGGCAATAATCCTTTCCCCCTCCCCATTACTCTCTTGGCGAGGCCACTATAGTGCACTGTTTGTGGTGAATCTGCCAATATGCATTGCAGCAGGGAATATTGGTCCAAACACACCATAAACAGTAACTGGATACAATTTTCAGGCAGCCTTTGGAGGATCTCAGCTTTTGGGTGCTTACCCACACAGCTGAAGCCTTGCTTATTGCTAGATGGCAGCAACTGGCATTTGTTAGTGAAATGGCTCTAGGCTCCCACCAGCAAACGACTTACCCTCCATTTGCTCTTTGCAAAGTTTTTCTGAATCTGAGCGCTGACAGATGGGTATATGTCACGGTGAAGGGCTGTATTTCCATTAATCCTGCAGATGGGGAGAGAAGAAAATGGGCTCGTAGGCAGATGGCATTTGTAAGGCACTCCACATTCTGGAGGCAACTAACTGCTTTGTACGTTCAATCAGCAATAATTAAACCCAAAGGAAAAACAGCAACAAAATGTAACACAAACACACACTTCAAAGCTCGGAGAAGCTTGGGTTGGGATTTCTTCTTTGCCTCTGTTTATGGAGGCAAATAGGCACAAATTGCATCTTTAATTATTCATCTTTTTCTTTCTTTGCACACAAAAAAGAAACACCCAGGGCCATGCGGAGGCAGACGGTGACGTTAATAACGGGGGCTGGGGAGACCCTCCCTGTTCTCAGCTACCAGCGGGCACGTGGAGCTGGTAAATCCCCGGGGCCCGGCCCGCTCACCATGGGTGCCGCAGGGCTTCTTCACAGGTGAACCTCGTGTTTGGGTTTTTCTCCAGTAAATGCCTGATGAAATCCTTGGCTGTTTGGGAGGAGAGGAGAAGCAGAAAGAAAAGGTTATTTTCTCCTTGTTCCGAGATGTGATCCTAATCGGACACGGCAAACGCTGGTGGATAAACATCGCAAAGGTCAGCCCCGAGAAGGAGGTGTTGGTGCCGCTTCATTGCTCCATTAAAGGGAGATGTTTGTAGCAAAGGGGTCCAGATGCAGAAATGTTAACTGGGGACGTACCAACCTTCATGCCTAGATTACATAAATTTGAGTTGAATTATTCAGCTAAAAAATAACTGTAAAAAACATACATGCAAACTGGGGAGATTTAGAAGTTGCCCTACAAAGCACATATATCCCTCCTTTTTTTTTTTTTTTTCTCTTCTTTCGCAGGGACAATTGCGGTGTTTGCTATTAAGTCCTAACAAGCCTCCTGCTTCTTTTTTTTGTACGTGTAAAAAGATTGATGTTCAAAACATGCTGCTAAAATGCTGCCTTCAGTAAACTCTGTGCAGGCGAGCTCCAGAGCCACGTTAGTCTGGTGGCAGGGTGAAGTGGTGGCTGACACGGCTCGCTGTGTTGCTGTAAGGAAGTGTGAGTAGATGGGAAGAAAAGCAAAGGGAAAAAAAATTAAAAAAACAGGGAAACAAGGTGAAAAAAAAACCCCGGAGTTTCCCTACTCCCAACGGAAAGCTAAGCCCATTCTGAGCTCGCTAATCATTTGGGAAAATCAGGATTAACAGAGGCTTCAGCCGAGGGTGCTGTGTCACAGGCAGGATGCGAAGTGCCCCGAGCTCTGCCAGCCCCGCTTGGCTTTGGCACCGTCCCCTCGCTACGCGGGGTCGGGAGCCTCCGCGAGCAGCTCCCACCTCTGGGGCTCTGCTGCCGCCTGAGTGACTCAGTTCGACACTTCACCCTTTCCCGGGGAAATGAGGGGAATTGGGGGGTGCTGGGGGGGCTCGGCTGGCGCCAGCTCGGGCCCGCGGGTCGCTGGGTTGTGGCTTGTGGGAGGGAGCGTGGGGCTTCCCAGTGCCAGTTACCTGACTCGGAGATATCATCCCAAAAGGGAGACTCGAACTCATAGTAGCCTTCCTTAATCTTTTCAAACAGCTTGGATTCGGTCTCTTCGTAGAAAGGAGGATACCCGCAGAGCCTGGAACAGAGCAGAAAGCCAGCGGTCCCTCAGCGCTGGGCACACACGGGCACCGCGGGCGGGTGAGTAACAGGGGGGCTGCTCTGTCCATCCATCTGCCCCTCACCTCTGAGTGTATCGGTAAAGCTGCAGAAAAGAGTTAAAAACTCAACTGCAGCAGCGAAAGGACAAAGCCACAGCTGGCACAGAGCTGCATGGTGTGGGAGGAAATGAAACAAAAAGTACCGAGGAAGATTGAATGATATTTGTAGGCAACTGGAAAAAAACAAAGCATAGGATGAGGCACATAATAGAGAAAATGTGATTCCTTTCATCTCCGCTCCAGTATTTGATTCCCCGCATCCCTTTAATTTCTACGGTCTAGTGAATCTGTGCAAAGGAAGAATACAGCGCTGCTGTGTTCCCGCAGCAAAATGGGAGGTCCAGTGTCGCCTCCGCTTGTGTTGCCACTCTGCAGGGGCGTATGAAGCGATGGAGGAGCTGGGAAACTCATGGAAAAACAAGTGGGCTGCTGTTTGCTCTTACTCACAGGATATAGGTGATGACTCCAATGGACCAGCAGTCTACGGCTTTGCTGTATGGTTTCTGGGCGAGGACTTCAGGGGCTGCAGAACAGCAAAACCAAATGAAAATTCTAAGCAATAATAAATTATCCAATGCTGGGAAAAGCAGTAGTTTCTTGTACACTTGGCCTCTGAGGTGCCAGTGCAGAGAGTCAGCCGGTAATAGCCCCATTTACCAGTTGCATTGGTCTGTGCTTTTTGTCTCGGTTTTATGTCAGTGAACAGAAGGGACCACTGACAGTTTCTGCCTGCATCCTGAGGTTCTAACCAGTAAGCTGTGGATCAATCCAATGTAGGCTGGTGGACATGAAACAAAATCCTATTGTGTTAAAATTATTTTTGGAATTTTCCAATAAATACATGACTAGTGCTGAAATATATTGCTCCTAAAATTATCCTTTCCTTTGCATTTTTGACCATTCTGAGATTTTTCAGTCTCTACACTCATTTGTGATCCAGCTTTTATGTGGTCCATGCAGTGCATTTGTGAGTAGCAGGTTGTTGCTAACACAATTACGTATTTTTTTTCCTTTCTGCTAGGCAATGCACTGTACATGCACAGCCTTTCTTCCAGACAGTCCACCGCTACAAGCCCGTTCCTGATCCTTGGCTTACCGACGTATCCCGGAGTTCCACAGGCAGTGGACATGATGCCGTTCTGTTCCATTTTAGACAAGCCAAAGTCCGTGATCATGATTTTGGAGTTCTCTTCGGGAGTAAGGTAAAGAAGGTTTTCAGGCTGTGAACACAGAGCGGTCAGAGGTTGAAATTTGTGGTAGAAAATGGAAAGGAGCAACAGAAAGTCATGGGGCAGAGCAGGGAAAGCCGCCGTCGCGCCGGCTCCCCGAGGTGCTGCCGTTGCTGGGGGACAGGTCTCACCTTCAGGTCGCGGTGAACTATTCCGTTTTCGTGGAGATACTTCACTGCTGTCAGGACCTGGTGGATCACCACACTCGCATCTTTCTCGGTGTAAACTCCTCGTTCCAAAATTCGGTCAAAGAGCTCTCCCCCGGATACCCTGTGGAAATGGTAGTTGAGAAAGAAAGACTGGAAAAAAAAAAATTAAACAAAACTAATCATGGTTTTGTGTTAGGCAAGTTAACGTTCTGGTGCTTTTGCAAGTCCACCTACAGCAGAACTGTTCCTTGGGCAGCAGCTTTTGTGAGGCGGAGGCTGGGGGATGCTCTTGAGTGCAAATTCAGGGAGCCATTAACATTACTGGTAAACCTAGGGAATTTGGGTAAGGTTACGAGGCAGTTCTCAGCAGGTCTGAGCCGCAGGCACCCTGCACCGCGGGCAGGACTGCTTCCAGGCTCTGCTACACGAGTAGATGTATGTTTTTGTGTGATTGCTTCCTTTAGCTAAATTTGCAAGTTAACAGTAGCAGCCGGGTGCTCAGAGCTGATGCCCACAGCGAGCTGCTTTCTCTGCAGCTGACATGTTGCCCATTTTCATTTCTAGAAACCCTGCATGGCACAGCTTTAATTAGAAATACTTCTGTCTCTGCCCTGCTAAACTGTGATGAATTAATTTGCATAAATAGAGCCTAATCTTGGTTTAGAAACTTGCTGCTAAAATGAGCATGGGCCAAGACAGGCTGAGAAGTGTCCAGGTTAGTTCAACCCGCGGGGCTCTTGCCTCCTCAGAGAGGGGTGTTGGAGTGGCTCCTGTGTGTGCAGTTTTTACCTGTGAGGGACTTGGTGTGTATGTGCTGCAATATGGTGCATCACCCCGGTCCCACCACCCTTCTTCCTCTGTGACCCACAAAGAAATGGCTCTGCTGATACTTACAGCTGCATGACCAGGTAGAAGTGGGTTGTGCTCTCGTAGATATCTTCTAAAGTCACGATGTTTTCATGCTTTATTCTGCCAAAATAAACGTGGATCAGAAACAGACCTGGCAAGGACAAAAGTGGCTTTTCAAGGGGAAAACCCAACAGTTGTCTTGCTTTAATCACCAGTGAAAGCTCACTGGGCTGTTTTGTGGCTGAACTCCCTCGCCCTGCGGGGCTGAGGATCCCTGATGCCACTGCAAAGTCCCTTCGGAGCACCGGGCACCAACAGCGGAGGAGCAGACCCCTATTTCTTTGTATTATTCTTACTGAAGAGCCACACATCTTAGAAAAGGATATTTGTTCTACTTTACATTACAATATGTACACACTCACTTTTTCAGCACTGCTATTTCATTCTCCAAGCTGCTGTCCCTTGTGAGAGGAGACTTCTTGATGCATTTCAGAGCAAAGAGCTTGCCAGTGCTTCTTTGCTTCACTAGGAAAACTTCCGAAAAGGCGCCTCTGCAGAGAGAAGAAGTTGTATTTCAGCAGATGCTGCTGCTGTGAATTGGAAGGATACTTCCAGAGAGAAAGAGGAAATAGCAAGAAAAATATAGTAGTAACTCAACTCTAAGCGGATGCTGATTGTAAAGCTAGAACTACACCTCCAGCAGCCCCCAATTTAGGATATTCCGTGCAAGATTATATGATATGTAGAAAAAACCCCACAATTTTCTCTGGTTTTGCGTAGTTCATCATGAAGCCGTGTTGAGGTAGTGGACAAAAAAGACCCCTGCAATGAAATGAAATCATATTCTTCAGGACCGTCTGTAAAGGCAGTCAAGTGTTCGACTCCTGCGGGTGAGCTTCACCCGTGGCAGGGTCCCAGCTCCGGGGGGGGCAGGCGGCAAACGCAGTTTTCAGCCCGTGCCTCGGGGGGTGCAGGAGGAGGCACTGCCCGTGGTCTCACCGCTCGCTGCCTTCCGAGGAGCCTGTGCCCTTGAATCCTTTGGGACTGGGGGGATGTTCCCGGGCTAAGCGCAAGCCCAGCCGAGGGGCCGTATCGATAACCACCTCGCTGGTGGGGCACTCCGCAGCTCGGGTGCTCGTTGGGGTTAATAACCTCCCATGGAAAGACCTCAGCAGTCTCCCCTCTAATAGGGCCGAATTCCTGCTCGATGCAAATCATGTTTCCTCAAAGTCCTTCACTTTTCCCTGGTCAGCGTTGCCCTGAATGCTGAGAGTGCTGAACGGCGGTGAGGAGAGCCTGCTTATACTGCAGTTTGGGTATATCAACCAATGTTCTGTACGTTTAAAGTGCAAAATAACTGGATAACCTCAGTTAATGTTTTCATTCAGCATCTAATGTGTTTTTCCTTCTGCAGAGACCGCTAATACCTCCATACCCTTAGTGACAGAGTGCACATGAGTGTCTCGTACACTCCTGATAAGGGTTCAGCCCAGTGCAGCAATAAGCAGGTATTTATAACATGCCTTAAGCTCACAATCCTGTTAAAGGTTTGTCTTAGACAGCTGAACACATGTCTTGGGATAGTGACAGTGCATACTTTGCCAGGTCAGTCCTCAATGATCCTCATCAAATGAACAACAGATTAATTGATGGCAGTTAAATGGAACTTGCCACCGAGTCTGCAAAGCCCTGCAGGGAGCTGGAGGGCAGAGCGAGGAAGGTGAGGGCAGTGGAAGCACCTTCTCGGTTGGGATGCTGCTGCAGCTGACCCAGTAAACACGAGCAGAAATCCCGCATCTCCCGTAGCCCCTCAACAAAGAATCCAGCGCACTGTGGAGACAGACAGGCTGAGCACGGAGCGGCACCCGTCTGGCACACGGCGCTTCGCTCGTGTCTTTGTTAGCGAGTGGCAGCCGGCGATGACGCAGGGCAGGAGCGGGAGCCGAAGGCAGCTCCTCGCTCGGCTCTGCCTTCCTCCTCCTCCTCCTCCTCCTCCCGTGGGCCCCCGGGTGCTGCCGAAACAATGTGCAAGACCATTGGGGTTGTGAGGAACTGGGCTGTGTCGGGACTGGTTTCTGGCAAGGGAAAAAAATAACAAACACACCCCCCCCCCAAAAAAAAAAAAAAACCCAACCCATAGATTGTTGGGAAGGCATCCCAACTGATGAATCTGAATCTTTGTTTCATTAGTAAATTATATGTAATGGTCTCTTCTGGCCCAAAAAGCAGGTGGTGTTGGGACATCTTCCTGTTTTCCCACATTCTTCTCCTTTTATCTGTAGAAACTCTGAAGGCTATTTTGTGGAAATGCCTTTCAAGCTCCTGAGAGCTCTCAGGGAATAGGCAGGGATGTCCTCACTAAAGTCCCTAATCCAACAGTTGTGGATGCTGGGGGAAGGTGGTAGTAATTTTCCAGGCAGTTGTAGGTCCTAGGTTTTCATTTATCTTCCTCAGCTAGCTGAAGCTCTGCATGTGAAAAAAAAAAAATCCCAATTTCTAATGCTAAATTTTCCTATTAATGTAATAGTAGGAAATGAACAACCTACAAATCAGATGCTGGGGCATCTGTTCTATATATCTGTCCCAAACAGTTTATAATAATTATACCCCTTATTAAAAAATGATGAATCAACAAGTTGGCTAGGAGGGAACAAAGATTTTTCTAACCTCGTTCCTTTAGAGAAAGCTGCTGGATAATTTAATTTCTGAGGCTGACCGGGAGCATGATAATTAAAACGTCCCTGAGCTCTGGAGTAGCTGTTCTTTGGGAGCTTCGCCGTGGGTTCTAAAGTCACAGAAGATTTGGCCATGACAGAACTTGCCGGTGGAGGTAATTCAATTCCTCCTCCACCACCTTGGAAATGTTTTCTTGTCTCATTTGCATGAATAGGCAGATTAAGCTGTTAACTCACGGAGAAGTATCGTACAACTTGAACATCCTTGTTCTCGTTTCATCCCTTGGCCGAGCCGGGGTTTATGAGCTAAGCGTATGACTTGTAATATCTCTTGTAATATCATCCCTTGACCTTGCAGCAGCGGACCAGTGTGCTCAGTGGGGAAGGAGCAAGACCCGAACTCGGCTGCCGTGCAGGGCTGGGGGGAAGGGGCAGAGGCGACCCGGGGCCGTGGTGCTGCTTGGCGTGAGCCACGCACCGGAGCAGCAGCACCGGCGACGGGCACCCACCCCTGGCCCCGGGAGCGGTGCCCGTCGCAGAGGGAGCCGTTCGCTCGTGAGCTTGGCCAGTGCCAGGCGGGACATCGCTGCCCTGGGCCGGGGAGCCGGGCCCGGGAGGTGGCTCTGTCAGGAGAGGAGCTCTGGTACTTACGATCCCAGGGCCTCCATGAAGATGAACGTTTTCCGGATGTTGCTTGTCTGTTTCTTCCAGGAGCTGCTCTCGTCCTCTTCCTTGCGACCCATCTCCTCCAGAATGGAAGCAGGGAACGCTGCGAGGAAGAGGAGGAGGAGAGGTGACTGACGGGGCAGACGCTCGCGCGAAGAGCAGGATTGGGGATGCCGTGAGTGGCGTTTGCTCGGTCAGAGGAGACAGACCTTTCAAGTGGGGGAAATTCTGTGCTACTTTTGCTACTCACAACTGCTCGTGCTGACCGTGTCCCTGCCATTGCATCCTGCTCCAGCCGTCGGCGCGGCGTAATACCAGATCAGCTGGGTAGGAGCCGGTGACCATATGGTAACACTCTCTTGTCAGTATACTCATTTAGCGCGTGTTGGCAATTACAAATGTTTATATTGTGCTTCATATTTAGTGGTTAAAAAAGCCCCGCTGAATGGTTGCTAATTTTAACTAGAGCATCCATGACTTAATAGATTAAAAGTTAGGTACAACTAGCGATGGAGATGGATTACAGTTGAGCTGCTTTATCGCTCAAATAATAAATGGTTTAAAGAGCTCATGACTGCAGGGAGGGGAGCTGATATAAAACATTTTGTTGATGTGTCTTGTACAGTTTGCGCTGCTGCCATCTCTAATTTTTGCTAATTGACAGATTGCTTTTGCTCTGAGTCATAACCTTCCCGTTGCCTTTTTCTCACAGGGCTGGGGTTGCCCGGTGCTGGCTGGTGGGAGCCACTGACGAGGCGAAGGGGGGGTGCCCAGATTTTACTGCCCTGCCCTGAGGGTGCGTCCCTGCTGCAGCTGGGGAGTGAGTGGCCCCACGCCCGCAGCCCCCCCTCCCGCTCGGCGTGCAGGGGGTGCCGAGAGCAGCTGGCAGCAAACGCAGCTTTCCGGAGCCGCCGCCGAGCGCCTGTTCTGGGCGCTGGAGGACGGAGCTGCGGGAAAGCTTTGGCCGGTGGTAAACGCAGCCGCGGGACTCCCGGCTGATCCGCACGTCTGAAACGCGCTGCCGCTCCTGGGTGGCTCGACCTTGGCCACGTCCCGGTCCCCCAGCTCCCCCCCTCCTCACTAAGCGCTTTAGAGCAGGGGCTGGGCAGCCCCGCTGTTAATGCAGAAAGTAACGCTGGCAGCCCAGGGATGTTCCCCGGGCGCTGGGGGAATTAGAGCTTGTGCTAGGTCTGGGAGGTGTGAAATGTTACACAGACATCTAAGCACTCTTAATAAGATCAGGTCTAACATTATGGAGCTGGAAGTGTGCTGGAAGGTGAGAAAGAAGTCATGCGACTAGGGAAAAAAAAAAAAAAAAAAAAAGTGGCGTGTCCACACTATCGGGATATGAAAGAAATGCACTGAAAATCTCCCCAGGCAGCAGGGGCTGGGGTGCCGACAGCAGCACCCTTGGCACGTGGAGCGTCCCCTTGGCACGTGGAGCATCCATCACACTTCTCGGGAGCAGGAACGGCTGCCCCAAAGCCTGAGAGACACAGCTGAGCCTTCGAAAGACAAAGCACAGCCTGTTGTGTAAAAACAAGCGTTTGGAAAAAGGCGGAAGTATTAAAGCAGAGAAAAAGCAGAAAGATACTGTTTCATGACAGACGGCTTAGATATTGAATTCCTCCTGAACCTACTTTATCTCCTTAATTAGAATGGTTTCCGGGTTTTGAGCTCCTTGACACAATTTTTTAAAGGTTAATTTAACGTTATTGAAAACAAACTTGACTCAATTATAGACAGTTGAAGGCTTCAGTCCATAAAAATCACCCAAGGCCAGTGTGCACCTGACCTTTGTATTTACCTTCTGGATTCTGATGCATATGTAACCCCTAGAAATACAACTCCTTATAAAAAACAGCCATATCTTGCTGTTTAGAATCAGTGAAGACCAAAATGTCGTCACAGAAATGATGATCAATTAGGAGAAACCCTTCTGCCAATATTTGAAGCCCCAAAATGAAGTTTTCTTTCACAGTCATCTGCTCATCCCGAATGTCTGCAGATTTGGAATGTCACAAAAAGAATTTTCAGCAGAGGCATTCAGCTGCGAGAGGAAGGTGAGTTTCAACCGTTTTAAATAAATATCAAATGCGTGATGCCAGCGTGGTGTTGAATGATGGGTAAAATTCAGATGACCTCTCCATTTCTTTCCCAGCCTACCGCCAAACAAAGAATATGAAGTAAAAAAAAACCCGAACAAACTAGGTCAGCCTGGCCCCAGGGACAAACAGCGTTTTAGTCTCCGTCCGTGTGCAGCCCCCGTGCTGAAGCACAGCCCCGCTGGCACAAGCTCTTTGGGGGCAGCCCGAGGGCGGCGCGGTGCAGAGAAATCCCTCCTGGGGAGGCTGGACCCGCGGCCGGGGTGACCGTGCCCCCCCGGTGGGAGGTGACACTGGAGCCACGTATTTCTGTGAATTTGGCCCATTGGAGCACAAGTGTCAAATTTGTCCGACGTTTGCTCATTTCAGCTCAATTTCCTTAGTATTCTCATGTTTAATTCCTTGGGAATGCAACAAGTTTCTTTTTAAAATGGATTTTGCTTCTAAAGGAAGGTAGTACCGTGTTTTCTTTAGTCTCCTGTGAATCATCTGTTCATCTTATAGTTCCTCCTTCTGTCACTCTCTGTGCACGGCATTTGGTTTCGCTGATATCTGGAGGAAAGGCTGGATGAATAGCTCTGACTCCCTACACGTGTATTTGATTTCCTGCTTTCTCAGTTTTTCTGTGCCATCATCAGCAAGTCATTTCCTGCCTCCCCTCGCCTCTCTGCGAGGAAGGGGAGTAAGTGCTGCTATTTTGAGAGCCAAATAATGAAATGTTTGAATTGCCTAAAATGCAAAGCTGCGTATGTGCTCGGGTGATGAATCCTTGCCCACCTTCCTCCTGCCTCACGCTGGATCACATTCCTCTCAATACTTTTTCCTCTTTGGATACACGGGAAAGTATTTGCCGGGGGGGCTTGGTGCAGGGCGCCGTGATTACGGGATTCTGAGACCTGTGACTTTGATGATGCTGGCTCTGGGAACTCATCTTTACTTTCTCTCTCAGTCTGGTTAAGCCACTTGTTGCACTTTGCAGCAGTCTGTGAGAACGCGGTGTTTGATATATTTGTTGTCTGGATTTTGCTATTTATTCAGGCTCCGGCCCAACCGTGTCCTGACCTTTCTCGGTGCTGGTACACAGCGTGTGGGTAAACAGGGTTTAATGTATCTTCTCACTTAGCTGAAGATGCTTTTCTTTCCACAGGAGTGGAAAACATCATAACAGAAGTTGGGCAAACAGACTCTGCCCCCCGGGCTGGTGGGTTTTCCTGCCGTGCGCTGTGTCCCCTGCGCACCCCCCCTCACGCGCCCGACGCTCGGTTTGTCAGGTCCACCCCGACACCCCCTTCCCGGGGTGTCACCCCTGCCTTGGTGGCACCTCGGTGGCTGCACGGACAGAGCACACCCCAGATGCACTGGGAAAATGCGTTATTTTAAACAGCTAATCTAGAGAAGGGTCTGCGTTCGCCCTTTTGCCCATTCGCCTTTTGACAGTGCAAGAACAGTAGAGCATAATAAAACAGAAATGGTCATTAATTAATGTAGGTAAAGACCTTTGGAGATCAAAATGAAGTACATCACACTGCTTTAATTTGTTTAGCTGCCCTCTTCCCCATCATAACAGATGAAGTAACGTGCAGGACTTCAATCAGATGAGTATATGCTGAAAGTAGTAAATAGCTTCAATATTAATGTCTAACCTTTGGGCTCTTCTACAGACTAAGTCAATAAACGTGACTGCTGCTATGCTCTGATCCAGCAAATGACACATCATTGCTTAGGATGTAATGAATGTTATTATGACCTTGCTTAAATATTTCCTGAAGAAATTTGTTCCGCTTTCATACCTCACAGTAACAAATCCATCTGCAGACAGACACTCTGCTTCTGAATGGATATACTGCATTAGCAAAATTATTGTAAGACATGATTAATAGTCTTGTGACAAAGTTACATGTGGAGGGGGAAGATACATGCTGCTTTCATGATTTTTGCCTTTAGAATCGGAAAGAAGTTTACAGAAAAAAAAAAAAAAAAAAAAAAAGGAGAATACAAAGTCAAATGGCTTTGCTTTAAAAAAAAATACACCAAAACAAGTAATCTGCCTGTGAATGAATTAACTGCCAGGCCAGCCTCTGTGTTCAGGGACAAAAGAACAAGAAATTGAAAACATGATCTTGCCATTAAAAACAAATCCACATTAAACATCTTGTATTCATCCCACCAGTCCATCGTTTCAAAAGCAGTGCATTAACTTAGTAGTCCTCGATGAACACTTGCAAAATCACAATTTTCATTATAAATATTTCAGATTGCTTAAAATACTTTTGAAGTAAAATGTCAGAAGGGAGCTTTCTATGAAATTGCTAAATATAACACGAGTGCTGTAGGATACTAGACTAACAGCCTGCACAGAGAAGTCCTCCAGTATTTTCCTGTTACTAGATAAAATTCATTAAAAAAAAAAAAACAACAACAACAAAAAAAAAACAGGTTAGCCAGCATCCCACCTGCTTCACTGCACGGAGCAGGCGGAAAAGCAACGGGCTGTTAAGGAAATAATATTTTGCTTACCCAACTCAGCACAAACAGAGCAACTCCTGTCGGCTGCGGCGGCGGCTCCCGCGGTCTGCGGGGATTAGGGACCGCCCGGGCGCTCCCGGCAGCGGGGCGGGGGAGGCGGCTCTGCCGCGGCGGTAACCAGGCAGCCCTCGGCGGGGAGGGAGCTGCCACGGGCACGAGCCGTGGGTGTGCGTGTGCGTGTGCGTGCGCGTCGCTGTCGATACCGGCGGCGGGAACCCGGCGCTTCGCCCACCGGCGTCGGTCCAGCCGCTGCCGGGGGGAGACGGTGCGCGGCCCCGGCAGCCGCCTCCGGTCCCCGGACGTTCGCGGGTGGAACGCGAGTGGGGTTTGCTGTGATGGAACGCGTGGTGTTCGGGGAGGGAAGGGAATGCCCCGTTTCCTTTTGCATGACATCGGGAGTCCTGTGGGGCGGAGCGGGACCGGACGGGGACAGGGTTTCCCGCTGGGATGCTCTGGCACCCCGGTCCCCTCCAACCCGGGGAAGGTGATGCTCTCCACCATTTCTAGATGGCGCAAGACCATGGAGAAAATTCATTGCAGCAGAGATTAATCTCCATCACCGGAGTTTTGGACTATTTTAAACCATACAATATCTCTATTTTGACTTTCAAAACTTCAGCTTGCATGCCTTCCCGGGAAGCACAGCACATACGAATATAGGAAATATTAATAATTCTTTGAATCTTTTCTATAGTGTAGGATTTTTAGAGATGGCAATAACAACTTTACTGACTGCACTCTCAGTTGATTTACACTGCCATCTAGAATAATGCATTAAAAAAGTACGTATCATTGCGAAGTTTAGTTTTATATCGGGAATAAATCAACTCTGAGGCAATGCTAGAAAACCACATTATTTTTCTTAATATTTTTTTCTTCAGCAGCTTCGTTCCAAGGCAAAGGCTGTTTGGTATTCTTCATTTCACTGTTGGCCAGATTCCATCACTCTGAACTCCATAGCGTCGGGGATTTTGGTCAGGATTTCTGGATGTGGATTTGCATGCTAAGGTTTTCTTTAGTGCTAGGTTTTGGTGGAATTTGCATTGATCTGATCTTGAAAGCCTTGTAAAGCTTCATCTGATCCTCCCTTTAATGCCTTCCGTGTGGCAGCACCGCAAGCCCTTGTGTGGCCTCGTCTGTTCCTCCTCTGGAGCGAGGAGGAGCCGGTCCCGCAGCTGGCAGCCTGGGGGAGACGCCAAAATCAGAGTAACCTGAGCTCATTTCTTAGGGCGTGTACATACCATACATATAGGTACATGCCCTAGATGTACGTCGGTATAAACACAATCACTCCCTCTGGTCCTGGTGCAGCACAGGCGTTTCTGTTTGCCCCCTGGTGTAAAACCCCCGGCGGCGGGCAGACGGCAGAGGCCCCGGGCCGGGAGGCACAGCGCCTGCCCGGCTGCGGGCCCTGGGCACCCACGGAGCCCACGGAGCCCAGCGGGCCCTCCTGCGCCCGGCCAGGGGCTGCTCTGCCCCTCGGCCCTTGGGGCAGACCTGGAGAGGGAAAGGTGCTGGCCACTTCTGCCTCTTGCTCTTTTATTCCCATCTATTAATTCCAGTTTTAAACCATAAAAACGATGTGAGGCTTTCAGTATTGTTGTCTTGGTCATATTCCGTTCTCAGCTCATTTCTTATTGTTTCATATGATTTTGGATTTTCTTATTAGCAACTTTTGCTTTCTCCAAAGCTATCAGCAATCGTATCCTAGATAGAAATTTAATAGCCACAGTTAAAACTCATCTTGTGAGATAACACAGAAACAAAGGACACTCTGGACCACGGAGGGCATTTTAAGATGGATTTGGTTGAGGGAACCTACGTACCCGCAGCAGAGCCGAGTGCTGCCCGCCGTCACTGGCGAGGTGGCACCACGGTAAACGTGCAGAGGGGAGGCAGAGGAGGAAAGGAACAAGTCCTTTATTGAGAATAGATTCATTGTGATCATAATTCCAAGTAGAGTCCCAGTAAGGAGAACAAACCGGCATCTGTGCATGAGCATCCACCTTCCCTGGGACGCCGGTGTCTGACCCCAGGTTTGGTTTGCCTTGCACGGAGCAGCGCTCGCTGGCCCTGCACGGGGGGCACCGAGTCGGGTAGCTGCAGGGTGATTAAGGGGAAATTAAATTAAAAATGACACAATTCACAATAGTGCCATTGCTTTGGGAGAAGTTAAAGGCAGAGATAATGAGAACAAAAGAGAAGCATTTACGGCGCTCCAGTCCTTGGAGTTTGTGTGGTGTTATTAGTTGTGTTGAAGAGGAGATGGCTGTGATAAACTGGAGTGGGTACGCACGCCCTGTCCTGCTCTTGTAGCACTTGCTATAAACGTATTATAAATCTTACAGGAAGAGCATGACTGCAGCAGGGCGATGCCAGGGGCAGCCATCAGTTAGAAGCAGAAAGAAACTTGACTGAGAAAAAGGAAAGCAGAGCAGGGCTCTTCAGTATGCGAGGGCTGCAACGTTCCCCACACCAACAGTGTTCAGCATTTGGCCTTCAGAAACACACTGAGAAAAGCCAAAAACCCAGTGGGAGCGAGAGGGAAAAGCTCCCTTGTGTGCTTTGCTGTGGAGAGACTCAGTCGAGATGCGGCTCTCGACCTTGCTGGATAGAAATCTAGGACAACAGGCAATTCAGTTCAGGGACTTTTGCTGAGCTCTCAGTGGGCCCAAGTTAAAATAGCAGTTATCAACCAAAGACACTCCGAGCAAGCAGCAATCTAGTTTTTAATGGCATGAATCAGAACTTGAAGAGGTGTGATGGAAACCAAGAGCACAACGTGCAAATTCCAGCCGCCCGGTTGCAGAGGTGTTCGGAAGGCACCGCTAGCCCCGTCCCTGCGGGCCCTGCTCTTCTGGTGAGAAGGGACCTGGAGCACTTCTGTGAGTGTTTGCAAAAAAGTGAGAAAAGAAAATAATCTGCTGAATATTATTGGTGAGCGGGCAAACAGGGCAGCCAGGGTGATTTCAAGCAGAGACGTTTTGAGACGTGACACCCTGAATGTAAATACAAACTCAGAAAGCCTATACAAAGAGCCAGTGTTGGTAATCTGGGGGTTTTCCAGGAGCTTGACCCCCGGACGGTAAATCCCTGGGCCTGGCACAGCCGGAGCGCAGTCCCCGGGCGGTGACGGCCTCGTCGCTGCCTTCGCTGAGCTGCAGCATCCCCCGAACTCCCGGGCTGGTGCCAGCAGAGAGCACTGCAGCACAGCCGATGAAAACACGGACTGTGGCGCAAAAATGAAGAACTAAGGACTTTTATGAGCAATGCAGCTGGGATTTCTGAGCGGCTGGTCGAGGGAAGGTGTTATTCTAGATGAGCTCCTTGAAGTAACGTGCAATTCAATAGCGTGTTCCTCTCAAGTGGAATCTGTAAGCGTCATTTGCTTTCCTTTGTTGCCTTAAAACACAGACACTGACTGTAAAGCAAGGAGCTTCTTTCATTTATAGTGTGATTGGGAATGAGTTGATGTGGAACTAGGTGCTGCTGCTTTGAACCTATGCTCTCTCTGTTGGAAATAGTTTCTCTTTTCTATAGGCTTTATTTTTATAAATAAAGCAGTTAAATTCATAACGGGGTTATACAAAGAACTTAGCCTCAAGTTTGGCGCATTCTTCTTAACCTGGTAATTATGGTCCTGGGAACCATTCGTTTTAAAATGGTAAAGAATCATGTAATTAGCTACTGATAGGCATGCGCTCTTAATTAAGCTGTTCAGTGGTACATTTACTGTACAGCTTGATTATCTGTCCCTAAATAATTCCAGCTAGCATGTCTCTCATATTGCCATTGTTTTCATAGAAAACTGTCCTTCTGGGACATGTTCTGACCCACTGGACAAACCACCATCCCAAAATTTACAGCCACCCCATGACCTAAAGATGAAACATTGTGGGTTTAGGTTTGAGACTGGATTTCTTCACCTGAAGAAGTGCCACTTTTGAGTCGCATTTTGTCTGTGTTGCACAGTGACAGTCCACATGAGGGACACTTGATCGTCCACCCAGATGCTCGGCTGTCCTGCGTGTCGGCTTTCAGCCTCGCGTCCCCGGCCTGCACAGTTTCTGCCACATGGTGCATTTCCCGTGTTCATAGGGCATACTCAGAGTTGACTAATAAGAAGTAGCAGCCAATTAGGAACCTAAAAGGGCCTTTCATTAGCTTTTTGAAAAAATAAGTACTAATTATGTAGGTTTGAATAGATGTTTACTCAAGAGGTTGGTTATGCATCCATAAAAAGCGAAACTTAATTTAGTGCATCTGGGGAGGAGAGGCTCAGGAAGTCCCGGTGGCTGCTGGCTGGTGGTGCATGTGAAGCCTCGAAAAGTTCATCCTTTGCAGCTGCTGCCGCAGAGGGAGCGACCGTCTCTTGCTGGAAGGACAGAGATAATGCTGCGAGGCGCAGACAAGGACAGCCCGGGCCCGCACTTGGCTTTATTTGCCACAGAAGTGCTGTGGGTGCAGCGGGGGTTGGTCCCGCCTGGCCGGCGCCCTCGGGCTCTGCTCCCCACCACAGCCCCGAGCGGGGCCGGGAGCGGGGCCGCGGCGGAGGGCGAGCTTCGGCCTCGGCGGCGCTGGAAGTCAGCAGCGACGTGCCTGTGCTAAACGGGAAACTGGCCGCCTCGGAACAGCAGGACACCTCCCTGGTACCTAATCCCAATGGGGAGAACGTTTAATATGTCAGTTGTTACCAAAAAAAAAAAAAAAAAGATAACAGGAGCATCAAAATTCAGAATTTCCAGAATGATTATATTTATACCATGTGATGGCTGTTAAGAGCCAATGCTACGAAGGCATTCCCAGTAAAAATACAGGTTTATTTTTTCAGTTAAAAATCTTTCAGGATGATGAAATCTGGCTGAAAGACTTTACCAAGAGCAATTTTTCTTTGCTTATTACTGTGTGCATTAAATAATCAAGGAGATAACGATACTGTAGGGTTTAGCTTAGGAAAGAATCCAATTAGATTCTTCTGGGCTTGTCTTATACAGGATTATGTGTGTTTCTGCTAACATTTTTGCCTTCTTGGGCCAGATAGCAGCTTCAAATCACTTTTTCTGTTTTATCTGTGATTACAGGCGCAAGAACAAGAAGGAAAAAACCCTCCTGTAAGTGCTACCCCAACATCACCTTCCTGATCTGCTCAGCAGTCCGGGCGGAGGATGCCGGCAGCCTTGGCCTGGATTTCCATCCCCTCCCTTGCGGCTGCTGGTCGCACCCCGGCTGTGCATGTGCCTGGGGAACACGGCAAAACACCGGGAAGGGCACCTGAGGTAAAAGGAGAAGATGCTGAAAACCCACCTGCGTCACTTCTGGAGCAGGGTGTGGAAGTCCCGGCAAAGCAGCTGCGTGTTCTGGAGTATTG